TGTTCCTCTACTCAGTATATCCAGTACCCCAGCTCCCTGTGCTCCACTCACCCCTACAGTCCTGTCTCTTATTGCTGCCCATGCTGTATGTCCATGTTCCTGCTGGACACTGCGTACAACTGGTCTGGTCCTGCATGTCCTGGTATGTCCCCAGTGGACACAGGTGACACATACCACCTGACCTGTACTGACCTGATGGACACTCCACTGGAAGACATGGAAATAAAGACATTGACTGAAGGTTTTTTGTACTCAATCAACATTGTTTTACTTACTGGTAGATATGGCAAGCAAGGTAAATCTGGGAGGCTGTTAAATTAAAGTTGCCATAAAACCCAAATCATCTGATGTGAACAAGTTAAAAAAACTTTTTGTCAAAAAATTTATAAATATTTTTGAGCTATTATTTACTAAGCAGCATAATTAAAATATACTTATGATAAGGATCACTATACAAAAAGTTTCCTTTCTGACACTTTCTGTCACTAAAGACCTTCCAATTCACTTCAAGACAATAAAGATGAGGTGCTACAACTGTTTTCTTTGTTCAGAAGGATGATTATGCTACAGATGGAAAAATACAGCAGTCCCCTTTCTAAATCAGTTGTTGAAAGAAAACTGTCAAGCAACTCACAGCATATGTTGTCATCAGTTTGATAACGAACTTTGCTATTGCTGAGACATCTGTAGTCCATAAAGTTGTCCCGAACAGTGCTTAACTTGGCTGTCACTGTGGCACAACCAGCTGGTCCTGTCAGCTGCTTCACAGGATTAGCTGGTGCTCCTCCTGTGTTGAAGATAGTCAAGACAAACGTGTGCATGCTTTGGTAGTCTGTGTCTGAAATGTTTCTTGGAGTAAAGATGAAGGTCATATTCAGTTGTACCTAAAATTGAAAAAAAAATCAAACATTTAATAAATCTTATTTGAAGACATGTATTATCCATATCAAACAATATCCACGGATCTCTGAAATTTGCAAATCAGCATCATACTCACTTTGGCGAATTAGTAAGATACGTGACTTACTGGACAAAACTTCAACTGAAAAACTAGTCCATGCTTTCATTACTTCTAAGCTTGATTAATGCAACAGTCTCTTATATGGTTTAGGCAAAAATCATCTGAACAAACTTCAATTAATTCAAAATTCTGCAGCTAGGCTGGTAACTAAAATGGGATGGAACAGCCGAGAGCATATAACACCTGTTTTGATGGAACTTCACTGGCTTCCAGTAAGAGAGAGAATTTTATTTAAAATTTTATGTGTCATTTTTAAAGCAGTCACTGAGAATAAACCACTTTATATCTCAGAACTTATGAAGCAACATCAGCATGGAAGAGTTACCAGGTCTTCAACTTTTAGCCATTTACTTTTAGAACACAGTGTCTTAGAGAAAAAAGCTGGTAAATTTTACGGTGAAAGGGCATTTATGATATATGCACCCAAAGTTTGGAACACCTTACCCTCTGAAATACGAGCAGCAGGTGACATAGATACTTTTAAAAAGCTTTTGAAAACTCATATTTTTAGAATAGCCTATCAGTAAATATCATATGGTTCATTTTAGTTTTTAATAAGGTGTACTGTAATTTTATGATTAATTTTAAATGTTGTCACTCTAGGTTCTTATCATTTTAGAATATGAATAATTGGTTCTTTAAATTAGTTCTTAGTCCTTTAAAATTGTAATGTGTTCTTATATTAGTATTGTGTTATTTAGCTCTTTTAAGTGAATGTTGTAAGGCGCATTGAGATTTTTAATGGAATGCGCCATAGAAAAATAAATTATTATTATTATTATTATTATTACAGATTTATGAACAACTTCATTCTACATTTGTCTTCTGTTATTTCTGATCGGTAGATGAGGAACCAATGTGCCAAGAGACATGCATTAAAATATTTTAACGATATTCTTTATTGAGATAAATGGTTAAAAACCGTTGATATATGTACATATTTACAACTACCAAGGGCTTGTCACATCTAGCACATTTCCATGAAATCTGTGGTTGTCGTCACAACCATGTTGAGACAGGACAGAAGCCAAAATATACCGCGTGTAAAAATTGTTTTTAGTAGATGTCAAATTTAGTAGAGTAACTTACTTTACAATTACTTATAATATCATTTTACTTTGATCAGAATAGCTAGAAGTGCAAAAGTGCAAATGTGCGTGGAAGAGGGGTGGGATTGGGAAAATGTGTATTTCAGAAGTTATAGGTATAAAGGGAGGGGCACGTGGCCCCCTCCCTCTTAGATCCACTGAATAAGTGACCAAATCATGAAAAAAATCCCTCATTGTATGTGGTGTTGCGTCTTGTCGTACATGTAAGACACAAGTGAAAAATGCATCGTGTCTTGTCTGTTGATAGTATATCTTACAAGTAATACTACGTTTGAAAGATTCATGAAAAACTTTATATTACAATTTCAACAATCCGTATCAGTAGATGAGGAAAACCGTTTAACAAGATATTTTAGGTAAATGGTTAAAAATCGGTTATTATGGCCTACTATATGCATTTACAGAGGGCAACGTTTGTTAAGTAAGATAGTAATATTTTTGTTAAAAGTTATATTTTTCTTTCCCATCCACTTATCTTATTAACACAGGTCCTTGCTAACATTTAGTCCCGCAAAAATTAAACCACTTACCTCAACCACAACACGAATGTCGCCTTTAATGAAGATGAATTAGTATCGTTTATTTATTTATTTATTTATTTGCAGAAAGTCTTTGACGATAAAAGAACCTGTCAATATTCCACTCATAATGCAGAAAAACATTTATTCTTCCTTCTTCCACGCACAAACTGGGGCACAAAGTTGAACTAATTTTGAAATGACCCAGCGCTACCTCCAGAATAACGTCAAATGTCATATTTCTTTACTTGAATCTGTTTTTAAATTAGTTTATTTGCTAAAATCTTCTTTTTTACAAAATAGTTTGTAATCTAGAGTGTCGTATTAGACACGCCGAAGGGTTCAAAAAGAGAACTATTTTTGGAAACATGTTGCACATATTCTCTTGAAATATTTTGCAATTTAATTACTAACTTCAGATTTTAGCGCTCTCTTTTGGCGTACTCACTGTTTCACAGCGAGAGTATTCACAGTGCGCGATGATTGACGTTTGTTTATATAATCTGCCAATCAAACTGTTATAACTTGAAGCAACTATAAAAACTAACTGAATTTGATTGGCACCTTGTCAATCAAAGGGTGTAGGAAGCTTGAACTAAACGTGTTCGACGACTATAGTGATCCACGTAATGATTGTGATTGACGTTTGTTTATATAACCTGCCAATCAAGCTGTTATTACTTGACAGCAGCTATCAAAACTAATGAATTTGATTGGCATCTTGTCAATCAAAGGACATAGGGGTTTTTACATGTTCGGAGAGAAGAGTGTAGTAATTGTGTTTGACCTTTGTTAAAAAAAACTGTCATTCATAGTCGTGTGCGCTTCACAGCTTCCATCAAAGCTGAATTAGCCTGTTTGAATTTGATTCATACCTGTCTATAACAATACATGTCGTAACATTCTGGAGGTAGGGGGCATTTTATTTTCTTTTCTTTTTGCAGCGTTAAAAAACGCCAGGTTCTTTATTTCAACCGAGAGACTGAAATTTAACAACGTGAAAGAATCCGGGGTTCTTTCACAGGCGTTTTTAAATGTACTAAAATTAGATGTCATTCTTTTTCTGGATATGATGTAAAATGACTATACATGAATTAACGTTGTTGACGATGTTTGTTGCTCCATAATCCTTTCTTGGTGCTCGTACGAAATCTGAACTTCGTATACGAACTGAACATAATACTTTTTTTAGGATCATTTTTAAAAAACGGATGGTATAAAAAGTAAAACCTTGTCATTTTTTCATGAACTACGGAGAGAAAAGACCGAGATAATGATGTTAGTGACCAGGTAAAATTAAAAACTACCGGTTTTGTTCGTTCCTTATAAAGGGCCGAGGCAATAAGTAGCCCGTCTCTGTATATTGACAGGAGCGTGCGTGAAAACTGTTGTTTTCAAATAAACTACACAATTAAAACTGCCAAATTAAAACTAAAACAATTTTATGCAATGAGTTAACAATCTTTCGAGCATCTTTCGAGCTTTAATCTGCTGTATATTGTTAGTACTTCATAAGTATAAAGACTCCAGATTTCAATAACGTGTGAAAATAAATAAACTAATAGTGGAATAAATCGGTCTGGTTTAATCAAAGACTTGAAATTCTTGTTTTAATTTATTGAATTTGTTCGTTCAGTATTTTATACTGTATTTCATCAGATTGGTAAAAAATCTTGTCATTATACATGTATATAAAATGGATGCTACGCCGTAAAAGAATTAATATTTGATCGAATATTTACTTGAAAACATACTTTTTTTTATCTAATTTATTTTATTCTATTTTTTAATTAACAAAATTAATTCAGCATTAACAACAGCATCTTTGTTTTGCCTCATCAAGCACATTCTATGAATCTTTGTCCGAAGGCGCATATATAAATGTAAAAGATTTGTTATTGTTCTTATTGTTCTTATATTCTTATTGTTCAACCTCTCTCTCTCTTCATTTATTATAAACTATTTTAATATCCATATACGTAAGAATGATTTAGAATTTACTCAATGGGGAATCAGAAATTGATACAGGCTTGATATAAAAAGTCGTTCCATTTATTATTGAACTGGGTCTTTTTATGGTAGACAGTAACGCGTCTTCTCATGAACGGGGCAATTTTTGTAGAGAGCAGTACTCCATATGCTGTCTACTATAGAGACTAGTCCCGCCTAGGTTTGTTAATTTTATTCATACAAGGCAGTCTATCTTCCATTTTAAAGACCAATATTTGATTTACATGACATAATCACAACATCAATGGCTTATTTCAAAATATATTGGGGGAAGGTTCCCTCCTCACACACCTACGGCTGCCCAAGGCAGTCGGAGCGCGGGCTATAAAAGAATGGTATTTTAAAAGCTCCCTGCCCACTTTTTTCACGTCAACACAGGACGGGGCAGGCTGGTTCTTCTCTTTCTTCTTCTTCTTTTTTGTGGGAGCGCAAACTGGTCGAAAGTTAACACTTTTGAAACCTTTCCTGCAGTGCGTGTTAACCAGTTAACGCATGAATTTTGTGCCGTCACAATGAGGCCGAGGCCGCAGCGCAGGCAAAACACTGCAGCCTAAGCAGTGGCGGGTTTGGGGGGGTGTCAGGGGGGTCCTACCCCCCCCCCCTTCAGTTCCTGAGAATAAAACAACACCAATACTCCTCTCTTGGTATTAGAATTTTGACTAGCTTAATCATAGTTCTAGACCGTAGCAAATGGCACCGTTCGCCCTCTAAAATACCAAAAATTGTCGGTACCCTTCAGCGGGCCCCGAACCCCACGTCAAAGGGGATGGAGGAGGGGGCGAGGGTCGGCTTCGCATCTGAGGCCTGTCATCCGCCCCTGAGTAAACTGTTACCATTCGTGCATGATAACTGGTTATTCACTGGTACATGGAAGTATTGGCAAGTGTGACCGCCCATCACACAATCCCAGCAGTCGAGTCAAAACTGGCGGCGAATGAACATGTGTTCGAATTTTACATTCTTTCCTCCCATTCCTAATCGAGCATGGTTGGTCAACTTTATTCAGGTGTAGATAAGGTGAGCTGAAAACTTGGTTTTTTAATTTCTTTTTCAGACAGCTCTCAGTCAAATTTATACTTCCGGGGCCGTGGCTCTCTTCGACGTATTTCCTCTTCGCATCTTTACAGGGTTATTTGAAGGTGGGGGGGGGGGGGGGGGGGGGGGGGGGCTGCGAAATCAACACCCCCCTTCTACATGGCGTGGGGTTCTACCGGTGAAGGGCCCTAAAACTTTTGGTATTTTTAGAGGGCGAACGGTGCCATTTGGTATTTGGTACGATTTAGCACCATAAATCATCTAGTCAATATTCTAAATCCAAGAGGGGAATATTAGTGTGATTTATTTCAGAACCCACCCCCTCCAAATCCGCCACTGCTTTTACTAACGCTACCCGCAGATCTTTTAGCTCTAACACCCATTTTAACCACAAAACATACAAATTATCCAACACTACCACAGCTGATGAATGTTAGTGCTATAGGTTTTGCTTCGTTGGTGCTAAATAACTGTGTGGTGCGTTGGCTAATCCGTGGGTTTTGTGGTTAATATAGGCGTTAGTACTAAAGATCTACAGCTAGTGTCAGTAAACGCCTGATCCGTTTATAAGGCCTGGAAGTCCCGAACAAAATTTTATTGAAACTGCTGCCATACATGATAGAGTTGGTAAGTCAACTTACATTTCTTAATCCTTATCTTCCCAAAGCAATTTCGTTGATGTATAATTTAAAAAAGCTTCCAATTTTCTTATTCATCTTGGTCTTTAGATAATCTAAGAGATCAAATATCTATCCAAGTAACAGGATGCCCCCCCCCCGGACAATCCCCCTGCAATGAATATAATAATGAAAATGAAAATGTCATATTGAGAAATATTATAAATGCCTGCTTTTAATGAAATTCCATCTCCAGGTGGTGGGTAAGCAGATAACCTCACTCTACAGGTATTTCTTTGATGAATTTACTGTAAGTTTTAATTGTTTTACCACTGCCCCATGACAGAAATAAACAAGCTCCGAAATTTATCTTCTTTTTTCTAGTTTCATTATTATTATTTACTTAACCTGTTGTTCAGAAACCTCTCTTACATCAAATAAAATGCAAATAAAATGATATTTGNTACATGATAGAGTTGATAAGTCAACTTACATTTCTTAATCCTTATCTTCCCAAAGCAATTTCGTTGATGTATAACTAAAAAAAACTTCAAGTTTTCTTATTCATCTTGGTCTTTAGATAATCTAAGAGATCAAATATCGATCCAGGTATCAGGACCCCCCCCCCCGGACAATTCCCTCCTGCAATGAATATAATAATGAAAATGAAAATGTCACATTGAGAAAAATTATAAATGCCTGCTTTTAATAAAATTCTATCTCCAGGTGGTGGGTAAGCAGAAAACCTCACTCTACAGGTATCTCTTTGATGAAATTACTGGAAGTTTTAATTATTTTACCACTGCCCCATGACAGAAATAAACAAGCTCCGAAATTTATCTTCTTTTTTCTAGTTTCATTATTATTATTTACTTAACCTGTTGTTCAGAAACCTCACTTACATCAAATAAAATGCAGATAAAATGATATTTGTTTGCTTTCAGAAAAAAAAAATAGAGAAAATGGTAGTATTAGTTTGATTAAAAAATGACATGTAATGGCAAATGACCAACGGCTTCTCCCCACGGCTTCTCCACGTCCCTGTGCCTCCCCACGGCCTTCTTAATGGCTTTGCTCCCCCCCCCCCTCCACGGTCTTTTCCACATCCCTGCCCCTCCCAGAGGCCTTCTCCACATCCCTGCCCCTCCCCACGGCCTTCTCCACGTCCCTGCCCCTCCCCACGGTCTTCTCCACGTCCCTGCCCCTCCTCACGGTCTTCTCCACGTCCCTGCCCCTCCTCACGGTCTTC